GAGAGAGAGAGAGAGAGAGAGAGAGAGAGAGAGAGAGAGAGAGAGAGAGAGAGAGAGAGAGAGAGAGAGCCCTGAAGCATGTCAGTAGCGGGCAGGGCAGCACAAGGACAGGTGCTAACCTCGAAAAAAAAAAGAGGAAATGGCACTGTTCTATTCGAATACTCGAGTTTTCTCTTTTTCAAATTCCAATAGACAACGAGTACACAGACTATTTGAAGTGCCCTTCTATTCGAGAAAAGTGGACCCACGCCGTGTCGATTTTGAAATGTTCAACTCGAAGACCACGGCGCACTCTGCCTCCTCCGGGCAGCTACCTCTCCTCCACAAGTAACAACTGCCCGTTCCCCATGAATTGCCCCCCCCCAACCATTTGGACCCAAACGGACGACCAGTAGATCAGACGCCATCGAAATTGACTCAGGGGTATAAAACACACCCCTTGCAGGCTGCAGTCATTTCCCTCCTTCCCTGCCTCCTCTCCCTCTTACCCCCACTTACCCGCATGATCCACACCCCCACCTCCTCACAACTTCCCATGCGCGCCTTTTCCTTCCCTCCTACCTCCGTGATCCTTACCCCCACCTTCTGAAAACTTTCCGTGTCCCCTTTTCCTTCCCTCCAACCCCTCTGCCAATTTAACCCGCCCCTCCTCATGCTCCCTTTCCATGATTCCCCCAACTAGCCACTCCACCTCTGGACGCTTCGCACCACTCCCACGCCTATCTCCCCACACCTTCCCATCTTAGGTTCATCGGAACTTCATCCCATCCCCCATCCCCCTTCCCCGCACATTACTCTGATTTTCACCCATTCTTTCCGCTCATCCACACATTCTGATCTTCACCTATCTCCCCAGTCCCCCTCCGCCCATTTCTCCCTCCTCCGCTGTTTCCCCCTCCCCCCACTGTGTTCCCATTGTCCATCAAACATTCCTCCTCCCATAGTTTCCTTATCACCCACCCACAACCCCACCATGGTTTTGTGTTCCTCATTTTGTTTTTCACTACCTTCCCACATGGCTTACCACCCTCACTTCTATAGCTATTTGCCTCCCGGCCACGGTATCTCTGTTTTCGTGACGATATTGTGAATCCCCTGAAACCTTTCTTCTGCCCTCTCCCAACACTCCTGACCCTGCTCCTCAGCTCACTCTGTTGTGACAATCATCACATGGCCCTCCTACTCTGCTCACTTGTGTTGCAACAATCATCGCATCACCATCATCAGCAGCAGCACAATTCATCCTCGATTTTCACCCTCATCATCAGCGATCGGCCATGTCATTCCTGAAGCCTGACATTCCCACGCAGTCATCCACCCATGACAGATTAACACTCGACAATCGTTAGCCCGCCCTTGGATCTCTGAGTCTTCTCTCTTCCGTCTCTGATTGCCATAGGGACGGGGCGGTCGACAGCAGTACAAGGTTAAAGCTGATTGAGGAGGTTGTCCATGCATCTTCAAAAAATAACAGGAACAACAGAAGAATCATTCAGTGTAGCAATTGGGAGCGAAGGAACTAGATCATCACAACTGCCAAGATCACACGGTAGATCGAAAACAGTCCATTTTTACATGCACACTAAGAGCATGTACAGTATTTGTGGTCCCAAATACACTTGCAATTCTTTCAGTATAACATAAGAGAGCTGAGAAAATGGAGCACTTGCAGAGTTGCAATTCTTGCAGACAATGCAGAGAATTCATAAACACATCAGAGTGAAAACCAGACGGTGATCTGTGCCAGCAAGCTGGAGGCAGAGGCCAGCAGTTACAACATTAGCGTTAGCACTAGTGGCCGCAAGTGCTATACAACGACCCGGACTTACGAGAACAACTATTAGCAGGAGAGGATTGATGATACCTGTGCAGGGGTTTGTAAAAGGGCAGCGTTTCAGTCACTCTCCTTTGGACTTGGACTACTCACGATGCTGCAGCACTCACAAGCATGCTGGACAGCTCTCTCTCTCTCTCTCTCTCTCTCTCTCTTTCTCTCTCTGACCTCTGTTTCTCACTTGGCTGCTTGCTGGCTCCGTGCTCTCTCTCTCTCTCTCTCTCTCTCTCTCTCTCTCTCTCTCTCTCTCAACAATGCCTGGCTAGTCTGCCCTCACATGGCTGCCTTGTTCGCTGCCTGTCCTCAGCTTTAGTGTGGCCTCCTTTGCCATTTGGGCATTTGATGTCACATGCCTTAGCTGATGAGCAATCAGGAAAATTCAATGCCCTGTGCAGAGTGGCTGCTGCAACCACTTCTCGCTGTGTCTATTTTTCTTTTCGTTGTCTTCGACTCTTTCCTCTGCTCTTTTTTGGACTCGTAATACGAGTCAAGTTGCCCCAGGCTTCCATGAGAAAACCAGTGGTGGCACTCGTCACGGATAGGAGTTGGGCCCTTCGTGCTGGGAATATATATACACATCAATTGCACCTGATCCCATCACCACCCCCGGGACCAAATTGCTGTGCGGAATCGCTGCTTTTCTTTTCACAGGTTTGGAACGACTGTCTGCTAGAATTGCAGGGTTGGAGTGAGCAAAGTCGACCACTTTGCTCAGGTGTAGAACGAGTGGGCAAGGCGGACTGTCACGGTTTTTTACCACCTGATGTGTCAGTAAAGTCCAATGAAACAGTTCGCTGCAGTTATGTTCTTCCTCTGTCGTGCACATCACACACCCGCCCACACACACTCAGACTCAACCAGTTTGAAACTTCCCTGTTCCGAGGCACAAAACTTTCTGGCTTTCAAGAGTGGTGTGAGCCAACAATCTGCAAAATGCTGCATGAAATAATAGTTTGAGCAACCTTCCTTCCCGTGTGGGGGGGCCAAGGGTTGCCGCTGCTTCGTTGCATGGCCTACTGCTCACTTTGCTGCACACTCTTCCACCAACCTCCCTTATGGCTACTTTCCATCTTGCACGGTTACTTCTCATTGAGGATGCCCCACCTGCCTGTGCCTGGCGCTTACTTTCTTGTATTTCGGCTTGCGTTGCTGCCCTCATGCACCTACTTGAGTTCCCTGCTGGCTGGGCTATACCTGCCTGTCTAGCCAATTGCAACTAGATTCACATCCGCTGCTGATTATCACCCAAGCACCACTTTTTTTGGGCTCCGCAGGACTGTGTTGAGGATCCTAAAGAGTGAAAAGTCCAACAAAACAACACATTACTACCTCTTCGTCCCACTGTTGACTTGCTGTCCCATCTTCTTGCACTGCTAGCTCATACTTGCTCTGCTTATCATGTGCCAACTATTCCAATGCACAGCACTTGGTGACATTTGTTTCACCTCTGGCAAACTGAGTGTGTACACGTTCCAGGGCAACCTCGGTATTATTACCAACTTCTTGTAGGTAGTAATGCCCACAAGCATGTAGTGGTAGTAATGCGCGCATGCATGCAGGTTCGCCAAACAAGCAAAAGCGATCAACATTTGCAGCCAGGGACATAGATTGACATTTCTGTTACCTTCCTTCCCTCCCTACTTTTACAGCATACTGGGGGGATTGGGGATAATGGAGCTGGCTTTGGATGGGCAATTGGGCCATTCCTTCGTGCCTTCAATCACATTCCTTGTCGCATTTACATTCATCCTCCAACCCCAGCCCAAACTTATACACAGTGTGCCTCTCTCCAACACAAGCATACATCCATCCCTCACCACTCTCCTCAACATCTCCCAATCCATCGCTCTTTTTAGTGATACTACAGACTCCTGATTGACGGCTTCTTAACCACTCCCACTTGAACGGCTCTTTTGTGTGAAAATGCCCACTCCCTATATTTTCCTGTCACCTCATCCGATACCCCCTCTCCTCTCAATGGCCGCCACCCACAGCTGACTGTTCTCGCCTAACTACTCAGCGCAACAACAGCAGAGACAAAACAACAGGTTGACAATCACCCACCCCCTACAATCTTAGTCCGAGGTCGTGCACTTCACCGTACAGCCCTGTTTGGCAATTACGAACCACAGACATTTTCTATATTCCCTTCTACTCAACACCCAAGGGAACGAGGTTACCAAGGTCTTTGGCTAGTTCTAGTAGTGCAGCACAGAATCATGAACGACCAGCCTAAATGGCTCTAAAAAAACACAGCAATCCAGCCCCCTGGCAACTCTCCTCTGCTGCTTGTTCTGCTCAGAATTCTTCAGCAGCTATTGACCCGTGACCAAACCAGCTCGTGCGTGAACAATTCCCGTCCAGCGACGTAAAACAGATCATGCACACACCTCACCCACTTAACGAGGCCGTGGCATAGCACCCATCGACAGGGACACCACCACGACCAAAGAACAAAAGACCTCAGGTTATAGATTCCTACACTGAGGGACAACTACATCTTACTCCGTACCATGCCACTCTGCTGCCAAAGTTATGCTCCTATCAGTCTCAAACTCTGGTTATAGACTCTTGCACTGAGGGACAACTACATCTCTCACTTTCACTGACATATGCCTGCCTAGCACCCCCATGCAACGGCCAACCTCAAAAAGACTGCAAACTATCTTTTGCAGGAGAAATATACCACAGGAGGAATCGCAGGAAGAAATCTCTATATGGCTCATGGAAGAAATAGACCTTCGTCATTTGTTTACATTTACCAATGATGATGGGCAATGATGTTTTCTCAACGGACCGGAGCAATCACATCAGAGGCATTATGCTTCTCACTTCATCCCAAAATACGGTCAGCGCTCGCGTATTCCTGGCGGGGGTGGGGTGTAGGCGGTTGGGGGAGGGGGGCGGGGTCACATTTTCCTCGGGACAACGTTGCCTGGCGGTGATAAGGATAGGTAGAGATCCGCTGCAATGGACCTGGCGTCTTCTAGCTCGACCGATCGCTCCATTTCCGCCCTTGATCTTCTCCGCCCTGACAATGTCTGCGGTCCTGGCGACATTGAATCCGCCATCACGCTTGTCAGCATCATCCGAGTCTGTCCAGTACGAGCCACGTCACCCGACAGAATTGAATTCCACACATACCTGCAGTCATCCATAAGGACTCCGTTCCTTTTTTCTCCCTTTTCATGAGAAGACAGCCCTCTGAGCATTCAAACATAGCTCGCCGAAACAGCATAGTAGCACCACACTTTCCTACTAAAGCAGCGCGGCACATCCACCAGTGCAAGCACAACAATAATGGTCACCGTAACAACACAGTTGCACCAAAATGCACGCACACAAATTTGCTACCAACAAAGCAGCACGGCACATGCACCAGCACAAGCACAGTGTTTGTTACCATAGGTCCATAGAATGCAAACAAGAGTACCACGGAAGCAATTGTTTTTGTACAGCGCCCCATGGGCGGCATAACCCACTGACCCACAACTCCATTTTTTGTATCGTTCCATGGCTTCTGTGGAACAACCAAATGGTTAGCTATCTCATTACAGCACACAGTCATTCGCAGCTGCACATTTCTAGACACTGGCAGACTAATGCAAAACATCAGAACACAGATTCTACAGGTTATACAGCACACAGTCATTGGCAGCTGCACATTTCTAGACACTTGCAGAGTAATGTAAAACATCAGAACACAAATTCTACAGGTGATGCATGCATCCCTCCGTAGTCGCAGGCACACCAACCACTGAACAGCCTCCACACTTTCACTGTGACCCAAAATGCAGGCCATCAACTTCAAGCAGTGGGCAAAGCCACAAACCACAGCTTATATATATATACTGATGTGCACCAACCAACCAAAGCTTCAGTGCTTTCATTCAAAGTAGTACTGTTGAGATTTGGATACACTCCACTAAGGCATCACTCCAGAATTTCACAACCGTCTTCTGCTGCCGAATTTCACATTCCGTCTTCTGCTGCCAAACTTCCAGCGAAACAACCTTTCAAACCATCAAGAAATTCAGCCTCCACCATAAGTTTTGACCCTACAGTCTCCACCACCAAGTTTTACCCTACAGCCTCCACCTTTGAGTTTTGACCCTACAGCCCTCCACCGTCAAGTTTTGACCCTACAGCCGTCCACCATCAAGTTTTGACCCTACAGTCCCCACCATCAAGTGTGACCATACATCCGTCACAGCCAAGTTTTAGCCAGGACAACTGAGGTTCAACACCTGCACATTCGGACCAAACAATACGAGCACCAAAACAGTTTACAGGACACCCAGCAGTTTACAGCGGGTTCTGCTGGTCTTTTCTACGCCACCCTTGCAAAGTAGTTTGGTAGTTCACCTTCCATCATATCCCATACCATGCAGTGTCAACACCTGTTCTTCGATGAGCCAGGATCGTCAACTCCGCCCCACTGCGACTGTGCCTAACTTTACCATACATCCCATTTGCTCCACTCAAATACAACTCTGGCCACGATCATGAACTTCGATATTTCGGATTGGCTGAACTTCCATGTACAGCAGTACCTACACGATCTTTCTTTCATCATGGCTCAGCATTCATCGGCGTCTATGTTATCACTTGCCACTGCTACCCCTCCCTGCATATATGGAACATCTCACTCAGTCTACAAAACCAGCTCTGTCACAGTACCTAGTCATCCGCACTCATGCTCGCAAACCTGCATCATGGTCTTCAGAAGAGCTCGGAAACACAGTTCAGAGTGCAACTACCAGTAACCACCTACTTCCCAGCCTCTGCTGCCTAGCTAGAAAGGTCCCAATAGCAACTCAAAAACAAAGAAGAACTTGCCAATCTGTCCCCCCTGTTTGTTTGTCTGTATGTCGGCCATGGCATGCACACCTGTTTATATACATTGCGAAAGTCAGCAAACACTGACAAAGCAACTGCAGGCACAAGCCGATTTTGGAGGAGAAGACCACGACTGCGAAGTGGTGAAAACAGATGGTGAAAGTGACGAAAGCCAACTTTGGAGGAGAAGACTGCGACTGACAAGCAGTAAAAACACTTGGTACAAAGAAGACCACGACTGACAAGCAGTGAAAACAGTTGGTGAAAGTGACGGAAGCCGATTGTGGATGAGGACCACGACTACGAAGCAGTGAAAACAGTAGGCGAAAGTGACGAAGTCGTGGCAGCCTCCAGACAATTTCCATCCAAAGTTTGAAAGGAAAAAGACCACGACTCTGAAGCAGTGAGGCTAGAGAGCTGTCAAATTGACGGTGTCTTCATGTTATTTCCCCAGTGCGTGCCACTGCAATGTAACACATTTATAACTGCAGCAGAAGTACGCCGCGAGTAGCATCTGTGCACAAGAGAGCAGTAGTCCTATTGGGCCACTAATGAGCTAGTCAGTACATGCCAACATGCACCTTCATCCCTCAGGATGATGCGTGTGGAGATCTCGACGATCCAGGTACAAATGAGAGCTGTACTACAGGTCCGTACACCCTTGGCATTGACCCCACCACACCCCATATGTTAAAGGCATTGCCTGAAGAGTCAGGTGCTTGGGCGAGGTCACCCACCACTTACTCTACTGGAGATCCACACATACTCGCCAGTCACCAGTCGCTATACTACAGGTCCGTACACCCTTGGCAGTAAGCCACTCCAATGAGTACTATACTGCCATCAACAACGATCAGCTTCCAAGGGTAAATCAATTTCAGAAATTTTTAACTCCTCCCCCTCATTCATTTATTTCCGCGATCGAGCAAAGCGCTTGACTGTAGGAGAGGTGCTCCATTCTCAAGCTCGCCATTCAATTAAAAATGAAAGCATTTGACTGCAAGAGGTTAAGATGAAATAGCCTGCCTGCCTCTTCCGTGAAGTAAATATGTAACCTACAAACAAATGAGATAAACCAACTAATCTTGCTTGTGCAATTGAACGAGCTACAGATTTGTCTTTCCAGCGAAATTAAATTTGCTGAAGGAGTGCGTTCGATCAGTTCTTGTACAGAAGAGGGAAGAGAGAAGAACACAGACACGGTGTTTTGATGGACTGCAGCATTCGGTACAACAATGCCTCCGTAAAACTCACCATAGAACAGAATCCGTACCATAGATTGTTAATTATTCAACAGCCCCTTATCGCTCAATTCCTATGACATTTCCGGATTGTGCCCTTCAGTTCTTAATCCACAAGGAGAGAGATGTGACGGGACCACTGACATCAACCTCTGTTAGAACGCACCTCAAGAGGACGGTTGGCCTCGGGCCGCTGCTGTGGTTCACGATCAGGTAGTTCACTTGAGTTGCTATTCTCCGGATCTGCACTTCCATGACTATTATTCACTTGCCCAGGGCTACCTTGCATATCACGACCTAGAGAGCCCATTTCCCCTTTCTTCCAACAGCCTTCAACAGCCACCCCGCGCTGCAGTCAACATCAGTGCCAACACAGTACAGCCTGTCAGAACCGGCAAGACTCGGCATACACGATTGCTGTGCCACCAACGCCCTTATTCGAGTGGAGGTTTCCAGAACGGGGATATAAGATAGTTCTTTGCCTACCTGATGACAAGCAGCAAGTCCATCAGATCCACCAAACAATTTCTTACGTTGCGGTGAAGGAGCAGTGCCTCACAAACTCCACTTTCCAACATCCGAGCTTATTCTTATAAACACCCCACTTACCTCTCTGGCTTAGGTCTGTGACAGAAGCCCACATAGCCACAAGGGAAAGTTGCTGGCACATAGAAGGCTGATAGCTATCTAGTATCTACTCATGTAGCCAAGGACTCACCACGTTTGCGTATGTGTGCGTGTGTACCTGCATGAATGTGTGTGTGTGTGTGTGTGCGTGCGTGTGTGCATGCGTGTGTGTGTGCGTCCGTGCGTGCGTGCGTGTGTGTGTGTGTGCGCGTGTGTGTCCAACGTAGAGCGAAGTCGTAGTCGAGCATAGACGCGTAGAAGTCAGTCAAAGTCGAGCGCTGTAGCCTAGGGTATGAAAAATCAAAGTCGATTGGAGGGCAGGCGTGGTTTGGAGGCGGTTTTTTCCGCACCGCCTCCCAAAATCAGAAAAAGTTTGTTAGATGTGGTCGCGTGGCGCTGGCCCGGCGACGTCCGACAGTACCAGTGCTAGAGCAGGAGCCCAGTACCTTGTGAGGTACCGGGCTCTGGTACGCAGGCCCGGTACCAAGCAGGGTGCCGGCACTGGTGTGCAGGACTGGTATTGGCCCTGGCAACACTTCAACCTCTAAGAAAAACGATCAGCAGACGATCGGGATGGTCGAGCAGCAATAAATTGGAGGGCCCCGATCGTCCGCTTGTCACAGGCAGGAACGTAGTGATAGTTATACATATATAGTGACAGCAGCGGCCAGAATCACATCGCAGTCGCAAGTAGGGGGTTTTGGTACAAGAATATAGCAGCACACCAGGAGGAAAATCTGCATGCCGCCTCTACACAACTCTTGGACAGGCGCCCACTGGCCCCAGAACATATCGTTGGTTGTCGATGTGGAAGGATTCCATTTCTTAGCACATGACGTTCTCCACCTTGCCAAAGGCTCGTGTGAGGATTGAGCCCTCAAGTAGGGGCCTTGCCATGATGTACATGTTCTGGGCTAAGGCCCCAGCAAGCCTAGTGCCCGCCCTAAGTGAAGGCGGGCCAGCAAATCAACAAGAGYCCTCTRTGCCAACATTTCACGAAGTGGGGTCTATACAGTTGCAGCACGCCAGTTGGTTGGAGTGCACCGAGTCTCGGATTTCAGCAAATGCTGAAATGCCCAGGGCCTCTGAGTTAGTTAGGCCCTGGGCACTTGAACGTGAGGCCGACATTGCACGCTGGGTAGAGAGGCCGAAAATGCCAAAGGGAGATCGGCCCACTGTCTGAATCTGGCCGCAGGCCTTGATGAAGGAGGCGCAACTGCATTGCCCCGGGGCCCAACTGTATCGGGTTGGCTTCAGCC